TGTTAGACTCCACATGAGTAGATCTACACAGTGAATATATAATATGGTATACTTTAGTATAATTTTTTTGCTGTAGCTTTACATTTATGTTTTTCTATAATTAATTCATAGCTGCAGTTTTTATGGTCCAATTATGGTGAAATTTTTATGGTGGGTTAATTATTATATGCTTGAATTGTAGTAAAAATTTTATACTCATTGGATCAAGTATAACTTAGTTATAGATTTATTTAGGTATATACTTGTTAAAAAGTATTTATAAATCCTTGAGCATCGGTTTTGACTGCTTGATTTTATTTCAGTTATCTTTCCCAGAATCTATGTGATGGATCCATATAAGCGTCTCGGAATCAGCAGGGAATCATCTGAAGATGAACTTCGAGCTGCTGGGAACTTTCTGATAAGCAAGTATGCAGGCCAAGTCAAGCATTGATGCAATTGATTCTGCCCATGGATAGATAATGATGCAGTGTTTCGGGACAACGAGCCACCTCTTAATAAGGTAAACACATTGTATTATTCATCAAATCTTCTAATCTGAAACTTTCTAAATGAACTTGTCTTTAGTGATAGATCATTAGATACATATGAGGGGCACTCCATTTCAGTAACAGATCATTTACATACATGGGTTCCAACAACCAATGATTATATTTTGAGAAAGAGAAAGTGGCAGAAGTTTCTTTTGTATGGTTGAGGCATTACTGCTTTGGCCATGTTACGATCGATTTTTTCTTTGTTTCTCTGTGTTGAACGGCAGTGTCCCCCTCACTGGATGGTCAAGGCAACAACCCCATGCTGGGCTAGCGAGGCAAGGCAGCTGCGGCCCCAACGCTGGGCTTGTGAGGCAGTTGCTAAGGATTTTCTTCCCTTTCGTTTTTAGCAGCAACGGTGACTGCGGATTGTACTGTGGAGGCCGATGCAACACGCCTGAAGGGAGGTGTCTGTCCACCTGCGCCCCGTTGATGCTCCTCTCTCCATCTCAGACTCTTGGAATTGTTCATTTAGGTCTGAAAAAACTAGATGCAATCACTACTACACAAATAATTTTGCGTGTCCTTTTATTAACGGAGGTAGTCACAAAATCCAACCACCTCGGTTAATGCCTGTGACTAGCGGAGGCGGGCATTTTTCATTTACCTCGTAAAATCGATTTACGGAGGCGGGCGTATTAAGACAACCGCCTCCAAAAATCCTCTATTTCCGGAGGCGGTCATCTTAAGGCAACAGCCTCCGTAAATCCATTTCCGGAGGCGGGCACACTATAAGGCCCGCCTCAAAAAATAGTGGCCCAGCTCTCAGCTCAGAAAAAAGCCCATCTCTACCATTCTACCGGGCTCGTATATAAGCAGCACCTACCTGAACCCTAGCCTCACAATGCTCCTCCCCAGCGCCGCTCCCCTCCCGAGTCGACCCGAGCATGGCGCTCCTCCCCTCTCGATTCCCGACCCAGGCACGGCGCCCCTCTCCCTCACAGCGCCACTCCCTCTCCTCTCCCTCATAGCGCCACTCTCTCTCTCCTACCTCTGGTGGCTGGCGGGGTCTCTACGGCGGCGTCCCGGCGCGGAGTCGTGGACGCACGGGCCCTGCAGGCGGTGTCCTGGTGGTGGCGCGGGCGGCTCCTACAAGCGAGCGGGTTGGCGGCGTGGGCGGCTCCTCCTGGTGGTGAGCAGGTGCCACCTCCTTGCAGCGGGCGGGCCGACGGCGCGGACGAGTAGGCGGGCGAGCTCCTCCCCCTTCGGCGCTGAGCTCTCTCCACCACAGCGGCGGCCCCGACGAGCTACGGTGGCGTAGATCTGGATGCGGCGGCGGGTGTCCCGATGATGCGGCAGAAAGCCGGATCCAGATCTCGGAGCAAGCGGGCCGACGGCGGTGGTGCAGATCCGGCCACCCATGCTCGCGGGGCAAGGGCTCGCGGCGGCGCGGTAGCAGGCACTCGCAGCCGTCCGGATCCGACGAGCGGCGGCAGTGGCGGTGCTCAGATGGGCTTGGCGGGCTTCGTCGATGGGCTCCGCGGGCTCCATCGATGGGCTCGCTAGATTTTTTTTATTGATTAACTGAGGCGGGCATATCAACCGCCTCAGTAGTTCTATGATTTACGGTGACCTTTGGTTGGAGGCGGTAGGATTGCCCACCTCTAAAAATCCATTTCTCCCGTCACGCAAAAGATTTCTGTAGTAGTGAATCATTTTTCTTTTGCGAATATTTCATTTACCAACCACACCATCCAATCTCTTCATCATCTTGGGGTTCACATGTCAACGGACGTGTTCTTGAAAAAAAAAACATCTTGGGGTTCCATAACTGATTACCTTGTCACATATATCTCTGTAGCAATAAAATGGAATAACATCAGGGCATAAAATTCTAGCTAAGGAACTGGGCAGAAAAAACATCGCTACAATAGTATATCAAGTATGCATATTGCTGACCAGTCTACTTTTCAATACCAAAATGGACTTCTGTCTCTCCTGAGCAAAGTATTTCATTGACTGCATATTCAGTATAAAGGAAATGAAATTAGAAGCAATAGTAAACAAAATGGAGGTTTTACGGATGAATGTTATATGCTGATTCTTACACCTCGTTGTTGGACCTCAATCGATCTTTGCAGTGCTTCTCTTTTTCTTAGGAGGTGACTAAATTGATATTTTTCTGGGTGGGAATAGTTTTTTCCATGGTAAAGGTAATTGATTTGCTGTGTACATCATTTGGCAGGCTTGGTTCTGCCTTTTACTCTGTAGTTACTTTAACAACCTCTTTATGTTTCCAGATCTGATGGATCTCTTCAATTACACCAGCAAAGATACCACACCTTCCTCTTGTTTTTTTTTTTGGTAAAAAAATATATTCAGTGGTTCAGTCCCTTTTCATCACACCTGACACAACTTGTGAGATGTTCGGAGCCAGTTTTCTTAGTTACTCCTACAGTTTTTTAGAACATGGAGGCCTGAGCATTGGATGTATTTTCTGTTTCTGTGTAGTCCTGAATGGAGTGGAACATGGAGGCATCTTGAGATGATAAAGCGAAATAATTATATGCATAATTAGTATCACCGAACATATACATTCTATTCTGTGAACTGTACTTTTCACTTACTACACAATTTATGCATTGAAATTTGTCATTTGAGATTAGAAGTATTTTTCTTGTTGATGCCGCTGTTAAGATAGAAGACAAATGCTACCAACGTCAAGTCGTCAGCTGAATGGGGCTGCTGGGGTGCTTCTGCATGTTCTACTGATGGGCACTTTTCCATTCCAAGGAAACTCTGATCAGCAGATTTTGTATGAAACTGACCTACTACGTGCCTGTTTAGTTCCCAAAATTTTATAAATTTTTTCAAGATTCCCCATCACATCGAATCTTTGGACGCATGCATGAAGCATTAAATATAAATAAAAAATAAAACTAATTACACAGTTTAGACGAAATTCACGAGACGGATCTTTTAAGCCTAATTAGACTATGATTGGACACTAATTGCCAAATAACAATGAAAGTGCTACAGTACTATTTTCCAAAAAATTTCGCCAACTAAACAAGACCGTGACGTTAAGTCGCTCAGCGAATTCTAGTTCCTTGCATGCCAACGAACTCAGCAGTGGTGCACTATAAATTGTTCTGTTTCCACACTATGTATAGGTTCTGAAAACAAAAGTTATTGTATATAAATCACTAATATGTAAATATTATGTTAGTCCTAATATTTCATTTTCACTTATACCAATGATGCAAATTGATAGATCATGTGTCGCTTTAACTTCATTATTGGCATCAACGTCATTTCGAAAGCCCTGCTTATTGGAGCACCAAATTGATTAACATAGTTTTTTTCACCCATACCAACGCACGGGCATTGGCTAGTAAAAAAAAAAACCCCAACTCTTTTACATGTTCCTGCGAAAAAAAAGAGACTCTTTTACGTGCCATTTATTTACTGGTAAGAATTGTAAGATGATATGGAATAGGCCGCAATGTATCTCATCTGCGGCTCCATGTGCCGGTCCGTAAGGTCCTCTTTGCATGCTGCAACATGGCCGTTCACCAATAATACGAGTGGTTGGAAAAAATAATTAAAAGACAAAAGAAGCGATAAAATATGAAAAAAAAGGTTCCACCGAGATTTGAACTCGGGTTACTGGATTCAGAGTCCAATGTCCTAACCGCTAGACCATGGAACCTGTGTGTATTCAAAGTGCCTCCAGGTCCATATTATCAGTTTTTACGGCACAAATGCCCAAACAGTTTCCACCAGAGGTTAGAGCCTCTCCGTCTCTTTCTATGTGCTTTGCTTGTGTATGTACGCACACTTTTTCTGCACAGTGGAGACGTCTCCTAATCTCTTTCTTTCAGTGTGCATGAACATGCACGCGTATGGTGTAGACGGTGGGTGTGGAATGTGTGGGTTGCGTGCGTCCTGTCATATCCTCTCAGAAGAAAGAAGCTTATTACTATGTAAACTAGCAAGGAATACTGTGACTGAAGTCCTCGAATTGATGAGGCAAGTATGTCTAGTTGTTAGGCTGAGCATGGTTGCCGTTCCAGCGATGCCATGCTTGTCTTCACGGTCACTTTGTATAATCGTTTGGTTCTCCCGCAAATTTTGTGGGTTTATGCGTGTATAAATATAATGCTTGGTCTGTGGTGTTGTAGGAACAACTTTCATCACATGTTTAGCGTGCCGCACGTGCATGGCCACTGCTAGTTAATATAAAAGATAACCAAGATGTAATCAAGAAAATATTCTCCATGACCGATATGACTCTGATTTAGATACATAGTATTAGCTAGACACTAGTCACAAAAAAAAGTATTAGCTTGACACTGAATATTACATATTATATAAAAAAAGTACTTGTAAAGGGTCTGTTTGGTTACGTGTGTGGGAGAAGTGCTCGAAAAACGCATGTGGCCAGGTAGCACCTGCAAGGGCAGGATCCAAACACGCCAAAACTGAGTGTCCTGAAAGAAGTGGCCTGTAATTCTTCATGGATGCTTAAGAATAGAGCTTATAATTCTTGGCGTCAAGGATGATTTGCCGGAGTCCTCCAATGGAGGCGATAATCGTCAGCAGCACGCCGATCACGATACAGATCTGAGAAAACAGCAATAGATAGATCGAGAACAGTAAGAGCATGGACAGTTAAAACTTAGATCGATAAAAGTAAGAGCATGGACAGTTAAAACTTACAATGTTAATGAACCATGTGAGGCCGTACTTCTTAGGCTTCCGCACCATCAGCCACATTATGCAAGGAATCTGCAGGCCATGGAAGAAAATTGAACTAGGTTGCATGCTGTGTGTAATAATATAATATATAATTAACAAGCAAGAAATAAACAAGCTCGATCATATCGATGGAAGTCTTACGAAGTATGTCGTTGGCGCGAACCCGAAGCCTCCGAAGAATCCGAGCAGGCCGTCGAAGAAGGGGAAGATCAAGCCGATGAACATCGTAGCGGCGACATAAGCTGAGCGGGACACGAAGCGGAGCAAGAAGCCCGGCGTGAACTGGTGCTTCTTGACGAGCACGGTCTCGATCATGTCGAATATGGGCATGGCGAAGACCTGGTAGCCGCCGATGACGTGGATGACGACCATGAGGTTGGCGGCGGCAATGAGCCACCGCGGCTTGTCGAGGGTGATGAGCACGTTGGGGTCCACGGAGCTGCCGAAGGCGGAGTACCCCGCGAAGGCGACGGAGAAGTAGCAGAGCGCGACGATGGCGTAGGCCACGACGACGCCGCGCCACATGGGCTTCTTGGACGGCTTCTCCGGGGTGGACGGGATGGTGGCCTGGATCTCCAGCACCACGTTGTGCGCCGCGTAGGCGAACGACACGGTGCCCAGCGCGCTGAGCATGCCGAACGCCTGCCCCGACGTCGTGGTCGCCCTGAGGCCGTAGTCGATGGCGCCGGCCGTGGCCTCGGCACCCTTGATCGCCGACGTGCAGAAGGCGATCATGGAGTAGGCGAGGGACATGACGGCGGCGGCGCCCGAGACGGCGGAGATGGAGTTGAAGTTGGGGAGCTGGGAGAGGACGAAGTGCGGGCTGGCGAAGATCATGATCCAGAACGTGAGGCGGATGTCGTTGCAGCCGCGGCCCTGGCAGACGAGGTCGTGGAACTTCCTCAGCGACTGCCCGCCGGTGACCATGTACACGATGTCGGTGCCGACCATGACGATGATCTGCAGGGGCAGGATGATCCAGAGGCCCAGGCGCTCGCCGAACACGTGCTGCCCGAGCTCGTGGTACCGGTCGAAGCGCTTGCCGGGCACCATCTCGTGCATCTCCACCAGCTGCCACAGCGTGTACAGCGTGATCACGAACGACATCACGATCGCCACCGTCCCGAGACCCCATCCCAGCTGCGACATGGCGAAGGGGAGGCCGAGCACGCCGGCGCCGACCATCGCCGTCACGTTGTGGAACGCCGAGTAGTACCACTTGGCCGTGCGCGACGACGTGATGGGCAGCCAGTCGTCGAGGTTGACGCTCTTGAGCTTCTCCTCCTGCTTCCGTGCCTCCATCTTGATCTTGTTTGCCAACAACTAACGAGTTGCAGCTGCGGGGCGGTTTGATGATTTGATCTGTTTTCTGTTGTGGGTCTGTCCACGTGCATCCGGCGCGTATATTTATACACAGTAGTAATTACGATGGCAGAGAGACTAGGTTTCAGACGACTCATCAAGACTTTTGCTGGGATCGATCGGCTTTCCCTAGCCACTACTGCGGGAGAGAAACTGGGTTTCAAACGACTTGACAACAAAAGCACGTGCCGTGCCCGTCCCGTGAACAAAGAAACATCGTCTCTGGTATCCCCTTCGGCCTCTAGGTCACCTCTCAAGTCCTTTTTACAGACGTAGGCTGGAAGTAACCCAAATAGGTTTGCTAATAATATTGTATCAAATATTATTATAGCAGAAGATCATGAATTAGGATATATTAATTTACAGAATGAAAGGTTAAAAGAAATAGAAAAATCAACATCACCTAGATGGAAAGGCATAAAAGAATTCTCTCAACATTTTCTATATAATGCCACACCACTGCTAAGCAAGGATATAATAAAGCAATATTTGATTTTTTTTAATAAACTACCAGACCCTTTAGGAACTTTGATATTTGAAGAATACAAGAAAGAATCTTAAGGATATGTTATCACAAGCTATAACATTTGTGTTTAAACATCTAAGAAAAATATGCACAAGTATACAAGCCCAAAGTTCTACTCCCTCCGTCCCGTCCCAAAATAAGTGTCGTTCTCGCTTCTCATGGAGTCAAACTTTTTAATTTTGACCAACTATATACAAAAAAATATTAATATTTATAGTATATAATTAGTATCATTAGATAGATCATTGATTCTATTTTCGTAATAAACTTATTTGGAGATACAAATGTTGCTAATATTTATTATAAACCTAGTCAAAGTTAGAAAAAATTGACTAGCACGGATATCATAGCGACTCTTATTTTCGAATGGAGGGAGTATGAAAAAAAAATCAGAATACGGGTTTTGCAATAAGATTGTGCAAATGCCTTTGTCATGTGGAGAAGAAAGGCATACTAATAAGAAATATTATAAAACTCTAAGAAGAAAGAATCAAATTTTAGAACAAAGAAAAGATACTTCTTAAGAAGATTAGATAATAGAGCCCATTTTCTACACAAAAGAAATGCAAGAAGATATAATCCTAGAAAGACTTATGATAAAACATGCAGGTGTTTTATGTGTAACTCACCTGATCATTTAAGTAAACCATGTCCTAATAAAGATCAAAAGAGATACTCTAGCAAATATGAAGAGCAAGAAAGAGAACTAGTACTGTAATAGATAGTGTCAATGAAAATATATTAGTTTGTGATGAAATAAAAGATGATGAGTCAATATATTCAATCATATAAACTGATAAAATAGAAAATGAGCTTTTAGAAGATGAAATAGATTTAATAGATGAGCTAGCTGGTCTAAAAATAGAAATGATGAATCAAGTAAAATATGAACATGATTGGATTAGAGGGAAGGGTAATTACAATATTAAATGTGCATATTGTGCATACTATCCAAGTCAAGACAATAGGTTTACATGCAGCCTTTGTTTAACACAAGCTTGTGCCTCAGCCTAAAACCAACAAACCAGAAGTGGAGACAAAAAAAAATAGAGGTAGAACCTGAAGACAGAGTATTGTCAAGCAGAATTAGAAATCTAGAGAATAGGATAAATAATTTAGAAGCAGAGTTAGAATAAATAACATATAGGCTTGCCCAAGATAATCATCCTAATACTTCAGAGCAGAAGCTGAAGGCTGTTGCAAATATAGAACAAGTTATTCCCAGTAATAAGTTATACAACAAAACAAAAGATACTACTCTCAGTAACTCTATGTGTTGTTTTGCAGGAATGAAGAAGAATGAAAACGATGAAAATAAATATGGTCACAATATTCCTTATGAGTTCCTTATCCCTAGAATAAGCTTTAAGATGGAACAAATATTATCATATTTCACGCAAGATATAATTGATCTCATATTGAAAAAAATGCTGAAATACAACAAGAAAACATTCCAGGATATCCAAAATTACTTCATGAATCTTTATAAAGGAAATAAGAGACATCAAGGAATAGCATTCAATATTCATATTCTTCCATTACTCCACCTAGATGACAAGCTGGTCATCAAGTCTCACCACCCATATCTGATACTAAAAGCTGATATAAACTTAAAATATTTTAGAAGCTGTCGATGCGGGACCCACAGGATACCCCGCAAGAGAGAGAAGATCTAGTTCAACTAGGATTCTTCCCATGTAATCTTAGTAATAGAACTATTAAGTAATCCTACTAGGAGATCTCATTGTAAACCGATTAGGACTCCGGCCTCCTGACTATATAAAGGAGGGCAGGGCTCCTAAAGAAGGACAACAATTGTACAACATAACACTTCATAATCAATCCAACGCAAAAGGCAAACGCTGACTGGACGTAGGGTCGTTACTCGATCTACGATCGAGGGCCTGAACCAAGATAAATCGACTGTCTCTTGCGTTTACCATCGAGTTCAGCATACGCCGAAGCCCGAACATACTGCCCCGGGTACCCCCGTGGCAGGCTATCGGTGGTAAAACATCGACAGTTGGCGCGCCAGGTAGGGGCCTTCGGCGAATTTGCATCCGAGAGCTCGATGGACCTCAACAACATGAACTTCTCGACGGGATCAACTTTCATCTTTGGCTCGTGGATCTGCGAAGCGGACAGCAATGGCAAGCTCCAAAGCCGTCTCCTCGAAGATTCGAAACACCATGAAGACTATTCTATTCCGGCGACTACGACAGACCATATCTCTGGAAGATTCGCGCAGCTCATGATATCCGATTCGACTCAGGTTTCACGGCTTTGCGCATCCGACTCGAATTCAAGCTCCGTATCCGAGATGAAGTCCTATTCGAGTGCTTTCAAGAAGTCGAGTTCCTGTTTGGCAAGATTCCAGAGCACAACCCAAAACAACTCGGATTACCCTCAGAATTTTTTCAAAAGGCCGAGTTCTTTTCCATTTGGGCTCGACAACACGACAAAATCCTATCAGGGACAGTTTGAAAGGTCTTTCAAACCAACACTTGGGATACCACTGACAGGAGCCCAGGAGGGTCTCGTACTAACGATAACATCGCAAGACTGTATCATCCACTGGCCAGGATCCGTTCCTGAGGATAGCGGAACCCAACTAGTCGGCACAACAACAACAGCTATTCTACCTTACCAAGAGGGAGACTCAATCTACGACGTCGAGACGCATACTGAAGTCATCAGCAACTCCGACAGTATGAAAACTAACAACAATAACGGAACGGCTCACGCACGGGAAGTGCTCATGGTTCGACGTCCTCGGTCACCATTAAACCCCCCAGAAGCACCCGATGTCAGGTCATCAGATGAATCAGAATCCAACATATCACCCTTTGCTCAGGGCTACGATGGAGAAACCGAGAGTCAGAGACAGGCTAGAGAAAGGAAAAACAAGTTGAAACAAGGGCGCCAGCACCGCGCTCGACAGCGTAGAGAAGCCTGGACCAGATACGAGTCAGAATTGGCTGAATACGACAAAAGAAAATCACAACAAGAGGCCGAAGAGAGACGCACAGTGAGTACGCCTTACGATAAGATTCGAGAAGCATTAGAAGAACTCAGGGCAACTTCACATCACGGAGAGAAGTACGAACAGCTCCAGGACTTGCTCCGGTCAACGATCCCAAGAACGCATGAAGAGAGAACCCGATCAAGACTACCCGCCAGATCAACAACCCGCAGGCAAGAAGATCAAAATCAAAGGAAGTCCGCTTTTGAAAGACTTGGACCAGGCGGAAGCCATAGCGGAGGAAGTAGGAGGGAACATAGTCGGGGCCATCAATTTGAACAACCAAGGAAGACCAGGAGTAGAGGGCCTACCCAGACAGCCTCGCAGAATTATTCCCATCAAAACAACACTTGGCCAGAAGAAGGAGCCGAATCCGAATTCAAGGAAGCCGGAACGCATGACAGATTCCCCTGTTTTGCAAACAGGTTGGCATTAGTACGATTACCTCACAAATTCAAACCATCTAATCACTCCAAGTATGATGGCAAAACCGAACCAAGGCAATGGCTCAGAATATATTCACAATCGATTGAACTAGCCGGAGGAGACGATGATATCAAAACCTTGTTCTTTCTCATGGCACTGGAAGCGATGCCCCTCCAATGGTTCGATAAATTGAACCCAGGATCGATCAGAACCTGGGAAGACTTGCAAAGAGCTTTCTGTGAAAATTTCACAGGTATCATCACACACCCGATCACTCATGCCGAACTGAAAGGACTCAAACAAAAGTGGGGCGAAAGTCTCAGAAATTACTATCGGCGATTCGGTGAACTACGGGCTCAAGTGCATGACATCACCGAACGAGAAGTAATTGAAGCTTTCTCTCACGGAATCATGGCTAGGTGGCAATTTCAAGACTTCTGCAAAGAAAATCCGAGAAACAATGAAGAATTCAGACGAACAGTAGAAAAAATGATTACTGTAGAAGAAAAAACACGAGAAAGGTTCCCGGATAGAAGCAACCAAGACAACCCGGATAGGCAAAATCATCGAAATAAACAGACATCAAGAAAGAAAGCGAGAGACCAGACAATACCGTGGCAATGGCCGACAAATCAAAGAAGTTTTCCAAACCCGAGAAGATATGATGACATTGAAAACATACGTTGTTCGTTACACCCTAACGGGAGACACACCATCGGAAAGCGCTACACTTTCAAATGATCGATACGAGAAAAGACGATGAAGGAGAACACCAAAGAGGATAATCACAAAAAAGATGAAGACAACCACGAGGACAAGGGATTTCAAAACCTGGGGAATGGTAGCGATGATCTTCGGGGGCCCCAGATTGCACAAGCAAACGTCAAGAAAAACTAGCACTACGGACTATCATGACGGCAGAACCGGCTACACCAAGATATCTCAATTGGTCACAATATCCAATCC